GTTGCTTGCAAAGAAATGCAGGGTGCTTTTATTTTAGATGGGATAGATATACTGGAAAACCTCCGGTCAATGGACCCCTAAAAATTGTATTGGTAATGTAGTTCCCAAACATTTATAGAATTTATCTTTCACTCCCTGGAATATGTGTCTTACTAAAGACTTCAACTTGTTAGCTACTTTTGTTCATTCAGTTCCATTAGCAAGATGTCATCTATGCAATGGATGAAAACTTTTTAGCTTTTATTTTTTGGACAATCTACATATGTGGCCAAATATCAATATAACAAAAATAGCAAAATTCCAAATATTTGGAAGTGTCATATTAAAGAACACAAGAGTGAACATAGACCTGAAAAAACTGTAAATAAATACCACATTCACTCAAATTAATAAAAACGGTTTCTAAGCCTCTTTTTAATATGGATAAAAAATAGCATATTTGCTAAATTGATGACCATCATGAACTTTGGTCATGTAACTCAGCTCTAGCACAAGTACCATGTCTGACTATTGCAACTGCACTGGGGGTGCTACTAGCTGAATTTGTGGAAATGAAAGGTCATCCTTTAGGATCCCTCCAGGTTTTTATTAAGGGAATATTGGTGAATTAAATGGACAATTGAAAGGGATCAACACTTCAAATGGTGCCAGTTTAAGAGTGGTGATAGTTTCTACCTTCCTCTCCCAGAATGTGATACTTTTGTTGATTAACTGTCTTATCTAGTATGGGAACTGCAGTTTCAGGGGCTCCTATTTGGGCTTTTCCCAGCATAATAGTTATTACCTCGTAGACCAAGAACTTAATGTGAGGGTTGCACTAGCAATCAAGTATGTCTATCTTTACATTGGGAGATTTGGGTTGGTCTGTGGAATTAATATGAGCTGCATATTACCCAGTGATCTAGGTATTAATTAAACTACATATGCAGCAGATTTAAAAAGGAGACATACTGATGCTTCTAGCCTCTGGATGTCAATGTTCACAAGAACTCAAAATATTTGGATATCCCTCTTTTCCCGGTGTAAATTAACTTGACTAAAATGGCTGGGTGAAAAGTAGGTGAATCATTATCTTTAACATTTTCCATGCTGTTGCAGAATCCTTCTCCCGAAGGACCTACCATCCTCTTTAACAAGTGAGTTCTGAATCAAATAGTGGCTCAAGTTCAGAAACTAGGAAAACGATTCTAACTTTTTAATAAAGCAACTTCCTCCAGTTTCCAGATCAGTTATTTTCAAAATTTCTTCTTGGTGTAAAAGTTGAGTGATATCATTCTTAAACACTCACTTACTTTGACCATCACTTTTTTCATACTTTTAAAAGTAATTTATATATAATTCACATCATCTCCTGAGACCCTTGTTGGGATGTTAAATGATGTATCTTGAGCTAATACTCCTCAGTCAACCAATGCTCATTTATCTGATGTTTCGGACTTCAAAGTCGAGCACCCTGGAATTTAAGTTCACCTGTCATGCATGTATGAAACCACTATCCTCTGTATTACAAATGTTAAAAACTAAAAAAAAATCTACAGTATAAAATGTATTACTTGAAATTAATCAATTAAATTTTATTAATGTTAGGTAATATTTTCAGATTCTTAAGTTTATTTATCCTAAAATACCAATATTTTGAGTAATAAAAGAAATAATATTTATGTCTTCTTTATGTTTAAAGCAGTTAAAGCAGAAAATTTCTCCTTTATCTTTTTTTCAGCTTTATTGAGGCATGATTGACAAATAAAAATGATATATATGGAAGGTATACAACATATTTTGATATATATATACATTGTGAACGATTGCTATGACTGAGCTAGTTAACATACCATCACCTCACATTACTACCTTTTGTGTATGTGTATATGGGGATAACACTTGAGATCTACTCTCTTAACAAATTTCAAGTATAAAATACATTATTAGTGACCATGCAGTCCATTAGATCTTCAGAACTTATTCATCTTATAACTAAAAATGTGTACTTTTTGAGCAATATCTCCCCTTTTCTGCCACCCCTCAGGTCTTGGTAACTTTCATTTTATCATCTGTTACTGTAAGTTTAACATTTTCTAGATTGTACATACAAGTAAGATCAGGAAATTTTTTTTGTCTTTCTGTATGTGGCTTATTTCTTCCTTTGTATTTTTATGAATTTTTTAAGTTCATGTACACTCCCAGATTTGCTCTATACCAATGTATGATATTAGTAATAGTGACTGTAAATAAAGTTTTATAAAGGAGAAACCATAGGTAACCACATAGGATTTTCTAATATTTGTTCGAATATTTGTCTACCATTTTTTTTAGCCCCAGTTGGAACTTTTGACATGGATGTGATTTAACAGTGTCTCTTCCATACAACTGTATAAAGCTAACTGTATGGAAATTCTCCTAGAGTACTGGAAGAAATTCTGCACTATGGGCAACTATTCTCTATGGCATTTCTATGCAACTTGTGACAGCAGTTTTTCTGGACTATTTTTGCAAGAATATTTGCATAGCAAACAGCCTTAGAGGATTAAGATAGTATCTTCCTCACAGTCAGAGCTAATGTTTCCCTCCAATGATAAAGTTTAGGCAATTTTTTCTAATAGTCCTGCATATAAAATTAAAATTTCCTAGTCTGAGTTCTTCAGTCACAACACAAACCCAAGATGTGTGCAGCATCTACCTGGGTCTGCCTCTTCATTACTACCATGGGACTTGAGCAGTGTTTTCTATGTCATGTAACAAATGGCCATAAATATAATTGTTTACAACAACATGCTTTTATTATCCCCACTCTTCTCAGGCCTAACTGAGGAAGAATCTGTTATCAAGCTCATTCCGGTTATTGGCAGTTATTTGTAGTTCTATGGCTGAGGACCTCAGGTTTTATAAGCGGTTGGCTGGAGTTTACCAGGTACCAAGAGTTTCTAAAGGCTGCAAGCAGTTCCTTGAAACATGGGTTCTCCAACAAGCCTCCTGTTTTGTTTTGTTTTTCAGTCAAGACTACAGGAAGAATCTCCAAACTGCTAAGACAGAGTGTCACTTAATGAAATAAAATCATAATAGTGACATCTGATTGCTCGTGCCTATGATAATCTAACTGTGAAAGTGCTATCCCATAGCTTTTGCCATATCCTATTTGTTAAAAGTAAGTCATAATTGTCACCAGTACCCAAATGAAAGGGATTACACAAATACATAAACATCAGGAAGTAGAAACCTTTGTGGAAAGAAGAGGCCATCCTAAGGTCTGTTCATCACAATGTACAATAGGAACTAATACAAAACTTGAAGCTCATACTGCTGGGTGTGCTGAGTAATAAAGTCTTTTGACTCTGACGCAAGATCCCTGTGTTTTCTGCCAGCATTTATGAACCAGGGGCAGGACAATTTGTTAGCTTGCAAGTAGGTAAGATCTCAGAAATTTTACAGTTCTTAACGTGATTTGTCCCAGTCTAGTCCTGGATATTCACAAGATACTAGGAGTTTAGGGTTATATTACTCTGGCTCATTTTCCCCCTTTACTGAAGGAGGATGACCAAGAGATAGAGTTTTCCAAACTACATAGAATCTCCATCTCAACTACTACAGACACTCAGAAACTTGGTTCTTTTAAGGACAAATACAGTTGTCAGCTGGTACTTCACATCCTCATGCTTACCTATACAAAGGTTCTTAAAAGTATGGCTTTAATATTTAAACTAATTCATGTATATACTTATATTAACAGTTTACTTAAATTGAATCTTCCAGACTTCTAGAATACAACCAAAATGAGTATGGGAAAGGTAATATGCCAGAACTCAATTATGAAATTTATGACTGGTGACCTGAAGGAATATAATTGCTCGTTTCTAAACTTGACAGAGTCTCATACCATATTTTAAAGTTTAACAATATATGATATCTTAGTAGAACTGAAAAATACACTATCAGAGTGATTTGAAATGAAGATTGCTTTAAAAATTGTGCTAAAATAGCTTATTTTCGCACACTACTTAGCAATACGAGTTAAAAGATCACTAGTTGAATAGCCCATAAAAAGTCCATTATGTCATTTTATATACATCTAGCTGCCAAGCACTCAAGATCATAATAAGAAATTAAATAGTTCAAAGAAGACAAAATTGTGAAAGTTAAGTGGTGAGACAATGCAATGTTCTACTGATAGACGTTATCTCAATAGCTTACAGAGTATTGACAGCTCTTTACCAACCTAAGTGTAGTCTTGTCCCAGTGCTTAAGGAATACGTTGTATAGTTCACTCAGATAGTTTCTGTATCCATAATTTAAAGGTGTTCTATGCCTCTCTTCTAAATTCTCCTTCTATTAAATATAATCATTGCAGATTTTGACAATAGTAGCCACTAATTGCCATTACAATATGATAAAGAAGACAAATGCTTCCCTTCCCCATGCTATGCCAAGCCCCTTGCAGGACCTAGGGAAAAATAAAAGTTACTCTCCTCTAGATACCTTATTTACTTCTTATCAACTTCTAAAATTCTCCATGAGAACATCTGGGCACTGCAGCTGATTTTGTGGTGTTCCTGCTATTTTCCAAACCTTTTCAAGCAATTAATTTGAAAACTCCCAGAAAAGAGGAAAGCTTCTTCTTTAAAAAAATAAAAATAAATAAACCATGAAGAATAACTGGTTTCCTGTTCATCATTTTCATTCCCATTACAAATCCACCAGACTCATTTTACAACTGTGATTCTCTAGTGACTTTTCATCCTATGTTTGCCAATGTTTTCCAAGCCTTAGATCATAGGTATACCACATATACTTATGAGTAATAGAGAATTTCAGGCCCCTCCTCACGGTGGCTTAATTATAGTTCTGTATGTTTTTGTGCACATTTTAGTGTATAATTTTATTAGAAATATTTTACTACTAAAGCAATGATGTTTTTGTTAATGTTTTTTGTAAACCAATTCTCCAAGAAGAAGGAAAGGAAAAGAAGAAGGAATTGAAAAAAAAAAGAAAGAAAAAAGGAAGGAAGGAAGGAAGGAAGGAAGGAAGAAAGGAAGGAAGGAAAGGAGGGAGGATACCTTGATCTGTAATATTTGCCAATTTCTGTGATATAAATACTCTCATCATGGCCAATATCCAGCCTAATAAGTTACTGTCCTTAGAGACAGTGTTGGGAGGAGATGTACACAAGAAGATCTTGTGAACTGGTGGGAACCAGCTCCAACACATCACTGGACCTTGGGGATTCCACTTCTAATAAATTACTTGTAAGTTTCCTACTCATATGATAGTATTTACTGCTAGAATCTGTGCTTTATTTGCTCCCTCTCTCTGATACACAGAACTTTATTTTCTGTCTGCCTGATCAACTAATTTCTCCTGGAGATACTCATAATCCACCCAGGAAGCTATTGTTCAAGTGACAGCCTCAGATATCTGTAGTTAGGGATAAATATTTCTTTCATACCATTTATCACATTATATTGCAAATATCTGTTTGAATGTCTATTTTAATCTTAAACTGAGCCACCAAGAATTATATTTCATTCATCTTACATTTTGCCAGAGCATAGAAAAATGTGGGACCTAAATGTTTATATGTGAAACTCATAATTCATGATAATGAATTAATATAATACTGAGTCAGCAATTTCAAAATTGATTTAAAATTGCAGTATCTGATATACATCAAGGAGAAGTTGCAATAGGGAGGTAATAAGGTGATTAATGGATTTTAAAAGGATGAATAATTGAAAAAATATATAGAGAGAATTAAAAGAAATATAAGCAATGTCTTGTTCAGAGTATCAACTGGTGAATTTTCAATGTAGAAAAATCGCTGCATAGTTTTATAAACAGTATAATTGTATTTTCCACAATTAAAACATTTATTAATACATAGTCGTACATATTTATGGGGTACATGTGACACAAGCATACAATGTATAGTGATCAAATCTGATAACTGAACTAACCATCAGTTCAAACACTTATCACTTCTTTGTGTTGGCAACATTCCAAATGTATTCCTTCCATTATTTTGTAATGTACAATAAATGATTGTTAACTATAGTTGTCCTATTGTGTTACCAAACACTAGATCTTATTCTTGCTATGTAAATGTATTTTTCTACCAATTAATGAAACCCACTTTAGCCTTTCAAGCCTCTGGTAACCATCATGCTATTCACTGCCTCCATGAGATCAATTGTTTCTAGTTCCCACATACGAAAAGATGCAACACTTGTCTTTCTGTGCCAGGTTTATAACACTTAACATAATATCCTCCAGTTCCATCCATGTTATTGCAAATGACAGAATTTCATTCATTTTAATGGCAAAATAATATTCCATTGTGTATATACACCACATTTTCTTGATCCATTTACTTGTGTGAATATGTGAATATGAGCTAGAACTCACATCCCACATCTGCAATAAACCCAGATATTTCTTCAATATGCAGATTTTAATATCCTTTAATTTGGGATATTGTGTGATTATATTTTAGTCTTGCTAACCACTTTTATAATTATACCAGTCAAGAACAATGAGGTAATACAATTTCAATTTCTAAAGCTTAAGCCTGAGATCAAGAAGATATTAATCCTATGTGATTTTTCTCAAAGTCACCACAAATAGCCAACACTAAAATCTAAATGTAAAACAGTACAAAAACTATCACAAAATATCATTATGGAATACATTTTATAGTAAAATCCCTGCAGTGTCCGCTTTTTAGCTTGTGTTCCATTTTAACTCAAATGCCTGTATCTTCCTATGTAATATTTTAAATGTTTCTTGTCTTTAAATTCAACCTTTAGAATAGAAAAGTTACTTAATAGAAACTTATCTTTTGTACATTTAGAAAGAAGCTTTAAAATCAACTTCTGCTCAGTATAGTCTTCACCTGTGGGAACAACTTCATAAAGCAACAGCCTGAGCATTCCCGAATCACAGGAGCAATGACTAGAGTCATCCCGGCCACTCACATGAGAAATATGATGGAAGAACTGAGGAATGAAGCACATTTAAAACATACTTTCAACTTTCAGGAGACATCAACACAGAGAAAACGTTCAGAACAAACTGGATGGATATGAGAAGATATCTTTTGAGGACATAAATGCATTTTACTTTCTGTTAATCCTTTCTGCCTTCATTTTTGTGGTTCGTAACGTGAACTATTATGTTCAGAGTTCGTAAAATGAGTGATGTCAAAAGAAATTTAAAGAATTCTCACTCACACCCCAAGTTTATAGTATATCCAGTGTAAAATCCATGTTTCCTTCAGCTAATCTAATTTTCTACTTGTTATCTTACATTGTTTCACTGCTTATCATCAGTTAGGAATGTTTTCAAAAATTACAGTCTTTCACTAATTAGTTTTGTGATGTGATCAAGTCACTTTATCTCTCAAAGTCTTCTTGTTAACATCTGCACATCGTCTATTTTTATGTCCTCCTAATTATTAATTACCAAAAACTGAGAAAATGAATGTAAAGCATTCAGAAACACGTAAAACACAGAAACGGAACACTGTGATTGTCTTTCAGCCTCTGGTGGATTGCAAATTCCTAAGTAAAATATTAGAACTATTTTCTGAATAACTCAGGAATTTCCCTTCTGCAGGTCAGGCCACTGGGTGGCATATTGTGATCGACTGAATTACTGTTCCCCAAATCTGTTTTCTTTTCCTGCAGGACACAAAACTAGAATTCATATCTCAGCCTCTTTTGAATTTAGGTATGACTACAAACAAATAGAATATGTCACATTTTGCGTGATATCAGACCTGCCCAGTATTTTTTCTGTGATGCACAGAAAAAATCTATAGGGAAACAGGGTCATGAAAGACAAAGAAACTAAAACAATAAGATGGAAGGATAACCACAAGTAGAAACACAGGCTTAGAAGAGAGTAATTTTTAGGATCAGAGACTTACAAAACAGTAATTTTGTAGGCTTTCAAATATACAAGGAACAAACACTCATTTTGTTGGAATACTGAAATTTCTGGGTTACTCTATAAAAGAGGTGACCATTGAGGACACAGTCTTACTTATTACTGTACTTTAGGTTTCTTAATATTCTATGCTTCAGATATTCTAATTTGTTAAATTGTATGTCTGTAATGAGTACATAAACAGTCTATGTTAAAATGTCACCAAAGGCAAAATTTCTATTTCTATGTATCAGTAATTACATTTAATTTTACATTAATATTGCTGAAAAATTTGTCTGTTTAATTGAAATTCTTTTTCAAGTTGTCAAATAACTTAGCCATTTTAATTAATTACAATTTGCTTTTCTTTAGGATAATTACAGTTTTTTTTCTTCAAAATTGTCATTCACATCCTGAGAGGGTTAGTGATCCCTGAAGGTAGCGGTAGAGGAGCTTATTTCTTAATTTCAAATAGATTAAAATATGAACACTCTTAAAGAAGTTTAAAAAGCTTATTTCCCATATGACATTCACATCTAGAAATGATTAACATATGTAGTTGTGATAACATTCTATTTATTGAGTTTTCTATTACTTATAAAATAGACATACATTGCAAGTGAGAATGTAAATTTTTTACCAAATATTTTTAATAAATAACAGTATCCTTTTTCTATAAATTTGTATAATTTGAAGACGCCACAAAGAAAGAACAAAAAAAGGAAGGAAAGTGGGCTGGGCACAGTGGCTCACGCCTGTAATACCAGCACTTTGGGAGGCCAAGGCTGGTGAATTACCTGAGGTCAAGAGTTCGCGACCAGCCTGGCCAGCATGGTGAAACCCTGTCTCTACTAAAAACACAAAAATTAGCTATGTGTGATGGTGCACACCTGTAGTCCTAGCTATTCAGGAGACTGAGGCAGGACAATCGCTTGAATCCGGGATGGGGAGGTTGCAGTAAGCCAAGACCGCGCCACTGCACTCCATCCTGGGCAACAGAGAGAGATTCCATCTCAAAAAAAAGAAAAAGAAGAAGGAAAGAAAGTGTATAGAAAACCTAGCCAAAGACCAAAAGATATTGACTATAATAAAAATGTCTAAAATTCATATGACTATGGATTAAATACCAACTCTACAAATCAGTAATATTTCCTATATTAAAATATTAATTTGTCAAAGGCTACCTAGCAAACTTAAATAAACCATGCAGCAACTAATAACATTTAAAGAGTAGTTTAAATAGCAGTTAGCAAACTTAAAATAGTGAAAAAAAGAAAATATAATGATAATATAGACCTTCAAATTGTATACATATGTTATATATAATACATAAATACGTAAGAAAAGTAAAGTAGTAGGACATTCAGAATAGCAGTGACAGGAGGTTGGCAGACCCTTTTCCAAGCCAAACAACAATTTACTGATAAACATTTTGTTAAAATAACCATTAGAAATGTATGTGAAGTGTCCTAATAGCATACAGGAAATGAATTAAAATGTATTTAAGAAGGTGTAATAAATCTTGATAAAGACAATGTGAATCTATAGCATTTGAGCCATCACCCAGTCCCATTTTCCCTGCTAGATGAGTATAACAGAAACTCTACTTTGTGTAGCTCCTGTCAAGAAAGTAAGGCTTCTCTTCCTCTAGTTTTCAGTCTAGGGGTACAGTTTCACCACAGGTAGGGAAGATCAGAGGTGATCATCCTCCTAGTTTGATGTTGCAAAACATTCCAAGAAGACTGGCCTCGCCTTCTCCCTATCTAGTCCCCAGTGTAAGTGAGGCAAACAACCCCAGGTTTTTCTTGGTCCAACCAAGCTCTGAAACAAATAAACAATCAAAAATACATATAACACCACCACCACCAAGATCTGGAGCATGGGGTAGGACTAAGTGTCCAGAGTTGCTACAATATATTATTCAACTCACCACACTGATATCCAATAGACTGAAGGATATCAATATCATGAGTTGCTAAAATACATAATAAAAAGTGTCTCTTTTTCAACAAAAATACATGAGACATGCAGAGAAACAGGATAGTGCTGCCCATAGACGAGAATGAAAGAGCAGACAATATTGTTTGCATTTGAGGTAACCTAAATGTTGGCTTTAGAGACCAAAACTACAAAGTAGTTACTATATATATGTTTAAAAAATCTGGAGAAAACTATGTTTCAAAAACTAAAGAAAGGCATAATGACAATTTATCATCAAACGGAAAATAATAAAGAGATGAAAAATTATTTAAAAATGGAAATTCTGGACTTAGAAAGCATAATAACTGAGACAAAATACACTACAGGTGCTCAAGAGAAGACTTGAACTGACAGAAGAAGGTATTATGTAAAACAGATTCACCATGTACTTGTTACCCAGTTATCTGAGTGAGACAGAACATGTTCAAATACAAAATCATATGAAGTAGATTCATTACTTACAGATATGCAGCAAGGGACCAAGATCCACTGTGAGTTGGTCCCTCAAGGCCCAAGACGGCTTCCCAGGGTAGATGGAACGTTGATTCACATGCTCCACTTGCATCACAGCCAAGGGACCCCAAAAGGCATCCTACCTGTGGATATATATATATACCATTGGCCATGAAACTCACTGGGACAAACTTTGAAGAACATCTTGGCTTCCAGAGGAAAGAGGAACATAGCCCCCGGTGTCCCTGTAGTTCCTCCCTATCTCAAAATGTTACGTTCTCCAGGAGGGACAGGAACTAGGCCCAGACTGTTTCCAACAGTTCCTCCCTGTCTCAGGGTATTGCATTCCCAGCACATTCTATGGTTATTTTGTAGAATTGTAATCAAGGAGGAGACAGGGGTTAGGAGAAAATTAGATCAGTCCAAGGCCACCCAGAGAACTGTCCTGCAAAGTAATAAACTTGAAGATATATCAATAGTGATCACATATTAAAGAACAAAGATAAAAATGAATAAAGAAAAATAAACACAACCTCAAAGAAATGCAACAAACCATTAGGACATTAACATACTTGTCATAGGAGTGTCAGAAGGTCTGAAGAGATAAAAGAAGCAGACAAAAATACTTTAAAGCATAATGGCTGAATTATCTTCAAAATGGATGAAAAAGATTACACTATACATGTCAGATGCTCAATTAACTTTAAGTAGAAAAAAAATCAAACAGACACACATTCAGAAACATCATAATAAATATGTTGCTAAGCTGAAGAACAAAGAGAAAATATTGAAAGCAGCAAAGGAAAACAACTCATCACTTACAATGAACCCACAATAAGATTAACAATTGATCTCTCATTACAAACAATAATGTCAAGAAGGCAAGAATCCTATATCCAAGAGAAGTATGTTTCAAAAATGAAGATGAAGTAAAAACATTTCCAAAAGCAAAAACCGAGAGAATTCATTGCTAGAAGATCTACCTTATAAAAAATCCTGAAGGAAGTTCTTTAGGCAGAAAGTATGAAAACACTGGTAAAAAGTCAAACCTACATCAAATAAAACAAAGAACACAAGCAAAATTATTTACAGGGAATTATGTATGTATATTATAAGTAATTATACAAGGTTGTATAAATGAATATTACTTTACCTTCTTTATCTTTATTTAAAATCTAATTTTATAAAACAATGTGTACATTAGTATAGTGTTTGGCCTATAACATGCAAGAAAGTAACATATTTAGTGCTAAGAGCTCAAAGGAAGCATGCAGAAATAAATCTGTTTTGGAGTAAGGAAATGACAACAGATGGTAACTAAATCCTCAGGAAGAAAGGAAAAGATACAGAAATGGAAAATTTTAAGTTTAATATAACAGACACTATAAATATATACTTGATCTCCTTTCTGCTCTAAGCTTCTTTAAAAGACATCAAATTATAAAACTGATATCTAAAACAATGTATTATAGGGTTTATAACATATATAAATGTACTATATATAACAATAATAGCACAAAAAGAAGAAAGTAGAACTATGAATGAGTAACATTTTTATAATCTCATTAGATTTAGTATAAATCTGAAGTAAATTCTGATAAAGTAAGACATATAGGGTAAGTCCTATGGCAACTACTAAAGATATAACTCAAAATACAACAGAAAAAAAATCATACTAAAAGAATTAAAATGTTACATTAGAAAACATTTAGAAAAAATTCAAGACAAAGTGATAAAGGAAGCCTAGAGGAAAAAATAAGATATGAGATAAGTAAAACAGAAAAAGACAATGATAAGGTAAAATCTATACCAATAATAAAATTAAATGTGATTGGATTAAGTAAATTGATTAAAAAACAAAAATGATCAGATTGGATTAAAAAAACAAAACTTAACTATATGCTTTCTCTGGGTTGTAGACCTCAGATGAAAAGAGAGAGATTGGAAGTAAAAGGATAAAAAAAAAACAAAAAACAAAAAAGAGATCCTACAAATAGCAATCACAAGAAAACTGAAGTGGCTATACTAATGTCAGACAAAATAGACTTTAAAACCCAAAATGTTAAGAGAAATAACTAGTGACATTGTATGATAAAATATAAATCCATAGGAAAGACATAAAAATAATAAATATAAATACACCAAAAAAGAGAGGCTTAAAATGCATAACAAAAAATACTTGGAAGAAATAAAGGGGAAAGAAATGAACAATTCAATTATACTAGTTAGAGACATCCAATGCTTCATTTTTAATAATGACTAGAACAACTGCACAGAAGAGAAACAAGGAAATAGAATCGCTGAGGAACACTGTAAAAGCAGACCTAACAGACATCCACAGAACATTCTACCTCAAGAAAGCTAAATATCTTGTCATGGGAAATGCACATGAAATATTCTCTGATGGACAACATTCTAGACTATAACTGAACCTCAATAAATTCAAAAGAATTGTACCTCGTATGCAATGAAATTAGAAATCAGTAGCAGAAAGAAATTTAGACAAATGTATAGAAATTAAATAAACATAGTTCTTGGACCACTGGGTCAAAGAGGAAATCAAAGAGAAAAGAGAAATTATTTTGAGCTGAATTAAAACGAAAATACAACATAGCAAAAGTCATGAGATGTGGTTAAATCTGTGGTTAGAGGAAAATTTATAGCTGTAAATACCTATGTTGAAAATGAGGATAGACGTCCAATCAGTATCATAGTCTTGCACTTTAAGACACTGGGGGAAAAAAAAGGAATAAAAACTTAAAATAAGTAAAAAAATTAAAATAAAAATTGCAAAAGAAACAAATGAAATGGAGAATAAAGGAACAATCAAGAAAATTAATGAAACCAAAATCTGCTTCTTTGAAAAGTTCAAGAAAATTGACAATTTTTTTTACAAAATTAGAAAATTTTAAAAGACTTTAATACTACTAAAATTAGAAGTTACAGAGAGAGCATTATTACTGACCTTACAAGATAAAAAGGAGTACTATTAAGAAAAAACCATACGCTAATAAATTGAGTAACTTTGTAAGTAAATTCCTAGGAAGGTATTAGCTACTAATAATGACTCAATAACAATGAGATAATTCAAATAGATTTATTACATATTAGCAGAATGCAGAATGCAAAAACATAATAATCTCAATGTTACAGAAAAAGCCATCTTACAATTTAATAGTTGATTATAATAAAAATTTTTTTTCAAAAAGAAATAGGAATTCCTTAACATGATAAACATCTACCAAAAAAAAGCAGCAAAATACTTAATACAAGAGTGATAGCTTTCACCAAAGATCTATATTTTCATAAAACATTCTATCTATACAGCAAACTTGATAGAATACACAAAAATGCTACTAGAATCAATAAGATAATTTATAAAGTATGCAGGATGCAAGAACAGTATAACAAATCCATGGTATTTACTTTACAAATTATTGTACTGATTCTAGTAGCTTTTTAAATTTGTTCCAGGACTATAGTAGATAATAGTGTCTTGTACATTTCAAAATTATTTAAAATAGATTTCAAACATTCCTATTATAAAAAAGATAAGAATTTGAGGTGATAAATATGTTAATTACTTTGACAATTATTTTGCATTGTAATTACAATTATTACATCCCCAAATACCACATAAATATATACAACTATAATTTGTCAATCTATAATTGAAAATAATGTAAAATAAATATATCAGTGGTGTTGCTATACACTAAAAATGAATGATCCAAAAGTGAAATAAAGAAAACAATTCATTTACAATATCATCAAATGAATAACTTACTTAAGAATCAGCTTAATAAGAAAAGCACAAAACGTATACACTGAAAACTACAAAATATAGTTGAAACTTAATATCTAAATAAATTAGAAAAATAATCCAATTTTAATGGACCAGAAGATTTAATTTTGTAAAGAAAGCTATACTTTCCATATTGATGCACACATTTCACAAAGTACAGAAACTCCCAAACTGACCTTAAAATTAATATAGAATTTCAGAGAAAGCTATTTATCAAAAAACAATCTTGAAAAATAAATAGAAGAGTTTGAGTACTCACACTTTTCATTTTCAAACTTACTAAAAATCTACACTAACCAACAGAGTGTTGCACTCATATGGATGTTTATATGGGTACAATGAATCAAGAGAGTGTTGCACTCATTATATGAGTGTGTGTATATATATATATATACACGTGTATATATTTATATATGTGTATATATATGTGTATATATATATACACACACACACACACATATATAGGCTAGGAATGAGAGTCCAAATACTTTACAATTGATTTTTTATAAGAATGTTAATGCTAACAAATGATATTGTGACAACATGACACATCCATACCAAAAATGCAATTAGACTCCTTTCTAACACCATAACCTAAAATTAATACAAAAATAGATCGTAGACATAGTTGTAAGATTTAAAACTATGAAATTTCTAGAAGAAAACATAACAATAAATCTTTGTAACCTTAAATTGGGCAATGCTTCATTAATACTATATGAAAACAAAATATGTAAAAGAAAATTACAAATAAATTGCACTTCACCAAAAGTAAACACTTTTTTGCTGTAATCTATACCCACAAGAAACTAAAAACACAACCTACAAAGTGAGATAAAATATTTGCAAACCATATACCTGGGAAAAGACTTGTATGCAGAATATATTATGAACTTTACAACTCAATAATCAAAAGATTAAAAAACTCAACACTAAATGGACAAAGCATACAAATAGATATTTCTCAAAAAAGTGTGCAGATGGCCAATAAGCTCATGAAAAGCTGCTCAACATCATTAGCTGTTAGAGAAATGCAGATAAAAACAAGACTCCACTGCATAACCACTAGGTTAGTGTAATAAAAAGACAGAAACTACAGACACTAACTGGTGTTGGTTAAGATGTAAAGAAATTGGAATCATTGTACATTACCACTGTGATTTTGAAATGGTACAGCAGCTTTGGAAAATAGTTGTGTGATTCCTTAAATTGTTAAATGTAGAATTATCAAATACAACTAACAATTCCACTCCTATGCATATCTCCAAAAAATTAAAAAAATACATTGCTAGAGAAAAATTTTCATGTAAATGTTAAAAAAAAAAAAAAAAGGCACTA